GTCTTTCCCATTTTGAAACATCTTTAGCTATATCTACTAGGTGATTTTTTTGGTAGCTCACATTACTTCATGTTTTGCTTTTATTATTTGGGAAGTTGAGTATTATTTCATATGTGATCTGGTCATTTGAATTTTCACCTTTTTAAAAGTGTTCTTCATCCATTTTATTTTACCCCATTTGGAGCTTTCATCAAAAAGATGAAATTGATATAAAGTTTTTTTTATTTTGAAGCAATTAAGCTATTTACCTATATTTACTAGACTTTTCCCAAATTGGGTTTAAAATTTTGCTTATGGTGCATTCTTATATATAGGCTTCTTTCTTAATTTCCAGAGTTCTATTTTTATTTAAATCATTATCTAGTTGATCTGGACTCTTACAGTAAGAGATAAAACAGAAAGCTAAATTTCCTGCAAATGGTTTCCTCGCTATCACACCACCATTTACTTAATCTTCCCTTTCACAACTGATCTGCATGACCACCTTTACCACAGGATAAACTCTTAACTACCTTTCAGTGGTTTTTAAATTTTCATTGTACTCTTTTTTTTACAGTAGTCTTAGAATACACTTTAATAACTTATTGGCTAAATGACCTCGTATTATTATACCTCTGAATCATTCACTCTACCAATGAACTTTAAAAAGTCAGTTGGTCACATTTCTCTGCACACTGTTAAAAAATACTCTTGAGATTTTTTTATTGGAATCACATTAAATTAACAGCTATAGTTATTAGTCTATTTGAATTATTCTACAACTGCTTTAATCTATTTTAATATTTTTTATTTTTCTTGAAAATTATACATTTCATTAAGACCATGATTTTTAGTAGTATACATCAGCACTGTCTAAATTATTTTAATCTACTCCGTATTATAATAGTCAATTTCAATTGTATACGGAAACATTTTATATGGGCTCTTTTTCCATCTCTCTATATTTACCATCTTAAGTTTCTCCCAGCTTCCTGAGTTAAATGCCTAGTTCATTTATTTTCATTCATATCTAAAAGTAAAACCATTTAATGCTATAAATTTTTAAGGACAATTCTGACATTTCATAAATTTTGATCTGTAATATTTTCACTAGCATTATTTTTTGAATTGTCTGTAGAAGCATCTAGAACTACTGTGACACAAAGGTATTCAGAGGAGTCTTTAGTTTACTCTCTCCTACATTATCTGTCTGTCCATCTCTGTCTAAATACTTGTTTATTCGGGGTTCTGATTTAGAGAATGTAGACGATATAATTTATCCTGTTTTAGAATCAATCCCTTTTTCTTAATATTCCAAGACTGCTATCAATAATGTGTATCCTTTGATGCAGTCTAAAGTGAGACAGTTACCTATTAAACCAAGTTTAACTGATTTCACTCAAAGAAAAACCCAAAGTCTTTATAACGGCCTAAGAAAGTCATGCACTAATTGGTCTCTGTAATGTTTTTTACCTCATTTCTCCTTTTCTCCTCCTTGCTCACTCCTCTCCAGCCACAGTGGACTTCTGGACTATGTCAGGCATGCTCCTACCTAAGGGCTTATTTACTTGTTATCTCTCTGCCTAGAACTTCTTCCCAGAGATATTCACATGGCTTGCTCTCTCACTTCCTCTTTGTTGAAATGTAATCTATTTTTATTACTGTTAGTATCTCTCCAACTAGACTAGAAGCTTGATTACAGCAGGGATTTGGGCCTATTTTGTTTTTGTTCAATAATATATCCCCAGAGCCTGTAAAAGTACCTGGTAAATAGTAGGTACTTAAAAAAAACTGTTGGTTGAATACACAAGTCTTCAACAGTATATGCTCTGAAGCCATAACGCCTGGGTTAAAAATCTCAGCTCCCTCTTCTTACTACTTATAATACCTTGGGCAACCTCCTTAACTTCTCTGTGCCCCAGTTTCCTCCTCAATGAAATAGAAAATAATAGTAATAGTACTTATAGGGAAATTCTGAGAATTAAATTAGTTAATACATGTAAAATACTTTGAGCAGTGCCCACGAATTGGAAGTACGAAATAAATGTTACATAACTACTATTAATACTACTTTAATTCCTTGAGCAATACTTTAAAATCTCTCACCATGTTTGAGTTTTAATCAATTTTTTCAAATTTCTAACAACTTTTTCTTTATATAAATTCTAATGCTTTATATAATGTCACACAAATTACTACTTCTTTAAGGGGACTATACCTTTTATTTATGTGAAAAACTGTATCTGTCTCATGCTTTTTTGAGTTTTACTTTTGTTTGCACTTGTCTTTTTGTTGTTGTTGTTTATTTGTTTTAGTTTTGCCTATATTCTTTAGCATTCATATATTTGCTGGGCTTATCCTCAACTATACCTCTATTTTCAATCCTCTTTTTTTTTTTTTTTGAGGAAGATCAGCCGTGACCTAACATCTGATGCCAATCCTCCTCTTTTTGCTGAGGAAAACTGGCCCTGAGCTAACATCTGTGCCCATCTTCATCTACTTTATATATGGGCCACCTGCCACAGCATGGCATGCCAAGCGGTGCCATGTCCGTACCCGGGATCCAAACCGGCGAACTCTGGGCCGCCAAATCGGAACGTGGGCACTTAACCACTGTGCCACCAGGCCGGCCCCTATTTTCAATCCTTTTTAGTCTGTCTCTTCTAAAAAGTACAACTAGAAATGAAGGGGAAGGTCTTCAGTGCAATCTGTCATGTCAGCTCTATCCTGGAAATACTAGTAGGATTTCCTCCTCAACAACCTCCCTGCCCTTCAGCAGCTGCTACGCCTGGAGTCTTCGGGGAGACCCCACACTATTTAACCGTTATGCAAGCTTTTACTCTGCATACGGTGACGCACATGTTAGGATGCCTTCCTAAGTATTTTTATACCTTCTATAAATTCTTTTAAGTTTTCAGTGGGAGGACAGCAATGTGTCAATGGGATTTCTTGTGGTTGGAGGTTGGAGAGAGATTAACACATGGCTCAGAGTACTACCTCAAACCAGAAGTCTCCTCTATTACATGATAATAGTAAGTGCTGATCTAAAAATTAAAAATTTTTTTAAAAACCCACTATTCTGATTGTTTTTCTTTTTCAACTAGATTCAACTCCTATTCTTTTTAGCTCATGAAATTTGCTAGAAATTCTAAATCAATGCTATATAAATGGCAACAGTAGAAAACCTTTTCTCGTTCCTCTTTGTAGAGTTTATCAATGCCCTGCAGCCAAAGACCAATAGAAACACATCTGTAGTTGAACAGGTCTTATTTATTGCTCATTGCAAGGAAGAACACAGCACACTAAGGCGAGAGAGAGGTGTCTCAGTAAGAGAAGTTGGAAACAATTTATAGGATTCTGGCTCATGTGAAGTGATCTGGGGGAGGGTTCAATGAAGGAAGGCTTTGCTCTGGATTGAATACCATCAAGAAGAGGGGATAATTCTGTGACTGAGTATCCTAATAAATCTTACCTAGAAGGACAGAGGATCATAGTGAGACTAAAGTTGTAATTAGTAAAGAAGCAGTAATTGCTCATATCACCCAGGATAAAGGTGTGTTTGGTATTTTTTGTGGCTTGCACAATGACTTTATTTTTGTATGTGTTTAGACAAGTTTATGAAGTGATCCTGTTTACTGCTTCACTTCATCACAGTCACAGAGTGGCCATGTCTGATGTTTATGATCTGTCAGATTACGTTCAAAGGGAGAACATCAAGGCCCAGCTGTGAATGTCAAGCCTGTTTCCAGATTCAGAGACTGTTTTTCCCTCTCAAGTTCTTAAGGTATGTTTCAATTTAATGCTTTAAAATTTCTCCTGATATGTCCCCTCATGTCTTATAAAGACACCCAAATCTGGTGTTTTCATGGCTGGTCAGAAATAGACACAAACCAATCTATGAACTTACTATAAAAAAAGAATAGGCCAAATACATGCTTGGATATGAAGATAACACAGGACATGCACAGTAGTTACCGAAACTAACCGCAAAACTAATAGAGGTTGTCATCTAAGTTGTGGGAAAAGAAAAACATAAACAAAAGCTGTACGATACAAAAGAATTCTCTTTTCACTTTGATAAAAATAACTGCACTATCATATAAAGTGAATATACAAATGAACATGCATTAAAAATGCTTCATTTTTTTTCTTTTATTATAAAACATAGTATTAGGACAATTTATAAAATCTGAATGAGATATAGAAATTAGATAACAGTACTGTATCAATGTTAACTTATTGAATTTTAAAATTATATTATGATTACATAAAGACAACATCCTTGTTTTTAAGGAAATACACACTGAAGTATTTAGAAGTAAAGGAAGATTATGTCTGTACCTTACTCAAACAATCCAGAAAAAAAATTTTATGTGTACATGTGTAAAAGAGAGACAGAGGAGAAGGATAAAGCAAATGTGGTCAAATGTTAACATTTGACAATCTGGATAAAGGATTTAAAGGAATTCTTTTTATCATTCTTGTAATTTTTCTCTAAGTTTGAAATTATTTCAATATGAAACGTTAAAAAAAAATGTCCAGCATCAAAATTAGATTTGACAAACATCAGCACCTCCAAGTCACAGATAAAGAAAGTAAAAGTCAAAATAATCAAACAATTAATTAGAAGAGACGTGAAGCTAGAGTCTATTTTACTCAAGCCCATAGTTTACTTTCCACAAAAAAGCTTAGCATTTCAACATAATGACGGGTAGTTCATCAATAGATTATAACTTTATCCCTGACAGAAACAATGTCGATTATTCAGAATTTCCTCTTACAGTACTTCTTTCTTCTTGAGGTCTGATGTTACCAGTCTATTAAACAAAACTTTAACTCACCACTGATGAGCAAATAAATAGCTGATCATGCACCAGAGCTATTCGAGTCCTAATCAATGCTACAGCATTCCAAACAGCTGTCTTTAGACAAGACATTCCAGTTCATGAATCTATGACCTTACAGCTCTGGTGATTATATTCATGGTACCACTAAAACATACTGTTAAATAGATCATTTACCTGAGAACTGCCACTGAAACCTGGAGGTTGGCTGTATTCTGTAGAGTCAATAATACTACTGTAAAATGAAGAGAGAAAAATGTGATTTCAGTATTTACATTTTATAATAGCAACAGAAAAAGTACATCTGAAACATATCACATATAAGTCCAGTATTTCTCATTTCTAAGCAGAGAAAATATTTACTGCCAATAATTTCATCAGACATCAAATAAATGCACAACTCATAAACAAAAAAATCAGCAAATATTTAAACAATTTACCCCTTCACCCCCCCCCAATTTAAATATTTACACCATGAAAGAATGTCAATAGAGAATAATCACAAGACAGGTGTATACATAGATGTATTTGCTTCAATTTTGTTTTCAGAAAGTTTAATAAGTTGTTTGAAACTCTATTTAAGGAAAAGAAGACAGAGTATTGGGAAAAGAGCACAATCATGCAATCAAAAGCTATGGTTAACACAACATGCTTTGCCACTAAAGAGCTATGTGCCTTGGACAAGTACCTTATAATCATTCCATTTCCTTCTCTGCAAAGTGAGATATGTGGGGACTAGCCTTCTCTAGATTATCTAAAGTCCCTTCTAGCTCCAAAATGTATGATAATCATCTCATATGAAAGAAAACTATCAAAGGAATGGAATAAATGATAAAATACCAATAATCTTTCTTTCATAACCCAAAACTTACATACTAGTTCTCTCTGGCCTGATCAAACATAATCTGCATTCTGCACAGATTCTTTTTATTTGGTTATATCCTCTATACATTCTCCCACCTAACTCTAGAAAAACCTCTAGAATTCCAGACTACCTTTTTCTTCCTATTAGTTCTATCTTACCATTTCTATCTTATCACTTCATCACACCTATCTCCTTCCCATCTTTAAACAAAATAAATTACCCTATGAGGTCTATTAATCCCGGAAAACGGCATAATATATATATATCAACCATGCTAAACTAAGTTTACATTTTTAAAATTCTTCTTCCCTATCTCTACTATAAAAATGTTTATATTCTTGTCTACCCTAATGAAATTTAAGCAATTGAGCGTACTGATTAAAACGGTTCTCTCTTCACAAATACACAAAATCACTGTTTAGTACTCAAATAACCTTGAAGGTTGTAACATGAGAGGCACTCTTAAGAGCACAGAGCGCATCTGAATTTCATCCCTTAGCAGCTAAATAACTCTGGGCAAGTTATTAATCTTAGTCAGCCTCTAGGTTCTCCATTTATTAAATGAGAAAGACACTTCAGAGATGTATGAGATTTTAATCAAAGTATTAAGTTCTCAGTACAATGCCACATAAGAGTAAACATTCAATAAATTTTACCCTCTACTAATAAAATCAGTCAATAACATACAACTTCTTGTTTTCAAAAATACAATAAATCAAATGGAACTGTTCTCACAGTAGTCTTAAAAGAAAAAGCAACACCTATTAATAGGTCTCAACTCGTGTTCTTAACTGTTCCTATACTAAGACTCAGTTATACAAAAAAGAGCCTTCAAAGCACTACACTACAAATTAAAGAATGAACATAATCCTGTAATGGGTTTCTTCCAATGAAGTATAACCAATGCTCACCTTCCCTGCACAAAATCATGCACTGGTATGACAAGATCACACGGTATTTTCAGTATACTCCACCCAGGGAGTAATAGGAATGAAGAAAATGAAGACATGCCAGGCATTCAGAATCTGTGTTCCTTTTACTAAGGAAATCCAATCCCCTACCATTTGTATAAACATTAATAAAATTATGTAGCTGCACATAGAGGTCAACAGAACACAGCCATTTCTAGATAGGATTTTTTTATGGTGTTCTAATTCAGATTTCTTTGGCTGTAAGCCTGAACAATGATATGAATATATCAGTGTGTATAGCGAGATAACACTACATTTCAAATATATGTTAAAAAAAATACTCATCAATTTGTTGAAGATACTGAAATTACAGGTTTTAAATGGTATTTTATCGATAATGACTACAAAGTTTGAAATTTATTTTACATTAGATCTTAATCTTATTCACTAAGAAAAATTTATTAATGCACAGAAATATGAAAAATAAACCCTTTAATTCTGTTTTTTTATGTGTGTGTGTAACGTAACAGGTTTAGAAGAGAATAGTAGAAAGCACTGACTGGGCTGGGTCCTCTTGATTCTGATGCTATACTACTTCTTAACAATGATTTAGCCACAATCACCAGATGGTAACAACAACAATAACAACAGTAATACCATTTAAGCATTTACTATGCACTAGGCACTGGCTGAAATAATTTAAACCTCATAACTCTAAAGTAGATACCATCATCACTCCCATTTCTCAAGTGAGGAAACTCAAGCACTGAGAGATTATCTATTTGGCCAAAGTTAGCAAACAGCAGAGTTAGGATTCAAACCCATGTAGTCAGGTTCAGGAGTCTACAGTGAACCACCACACTAGGCACATCATGTTGTCTAACTGATGAGTGGGGAAACCCTGGATTAGTCCAACTCATTCCACAGACATAACTTAAGGAGAAAAGTAAAAAAATAGCAACCTATAAATATGAAAGAGAATCATCAATTATCTCAAATAAATGTCAACAAAGTTATAGAAACTGAATAAAGACATAAAAAAAATGGCCAGTGCAAGAGGAAAATTTCAAGGTAGTAACTAAAACTGAGTTAGGAAAAATACACTTTAATCAAGATGGGGAAAAATAAGACGACAAAAAAATTCTTAATGTTCTTGCTGGTGACAAGAAGCTTACCTTAAAACATAAATGAAAACTATACAGCTGTTAATCCAAGTTGCAAAGGAAATTCACAGTTAAGCAACTAGATGTCACACAACTACTCTCACTTAAATTATTTGCTTCCAAGAGCAAAGATATACTTTGTAATTAAAAGACAGACTTAAGTCAATTGTGCATATAAGCTATATCTATAATAAATAGGTAGGTAAGAGAGAAAACAGTGGTTCATTCTTGGTAAAAATAATAGGTGACTAGTTTTATATTGGACTTTTATTTGAAAAAGGATTATTCATATTTAAATTATAAATAGACACAACATTAGCTAAATTACACAGAAATTTTTAATATATCAGCAAAATAAAGCATATTGAGATCATTTAAGGCTTAACATACAGAAAATAAATATAAGGTTTTTTTAAATAAATAAGTGAAGTGAATAACCAAAAAAAAAAAAAAAATGCTGTGTACACACATGAAATTAGACTAACGGCTGTCATTGATTTGTTTTTCATTAGTATAAACTTAAGACAGAAAAAATAAACTTCTAATTTTAACACACTATATGGGGCTTTAGCCAAAAACTGTTCCTCTCTTATGTATTCTACATAAAATTTAACCAGTTTCCCAAAATAAAACATACTAAGCAACACGTAACCTGAAAATCATCTGGCTTATAAATTTTAATAATGATTAAAACCAAACATGGTTTTAATTTTTTAAAATAGTAAAGTTTGTCACTATTTTACTCCCTTTCCACCAAGGCAATAATCCTGAGTATTACAAACAGATCAGAGCTAAATGACTTTTCTCAAAATAATGCTTTTCTATCAGTTCCCTAACACAGAGCTTTTTCTCTGCTACAGAATATATTGTGTTATTGTTTATATAAGAATTGAAGCACTCAGTGTCAAATTAAAGGTAAATCCCATTTACTAAAGAACCAAAATTCTTGTGGTCTCAATTTGGAAACACCTCAAGAGATACTAGAAATCAGTCTTTGGGTTCATTTTTTCCTTTCTAATTCTACATACCCTTCAACACTTGACACAACTATTCAAACAAATCATACAAAATCAATGTGATCACTCTATCTACCAACAGCAAAAACAGCAGCAGCTAACGTCTACGGAGTGCTTACTATGTGACAGGCATTATTCTCATTTCTTTAAATGTACTATCACATTTCATCAGTCAAGACAGGTATTATTATCCTTATTTTATAAATGAGAAAACTGAGGTGCACAGAAGTTAGTAAACTCGCCTAAGGTCAAAGTGCTAATGAGTTGTGGAGGTGACAGTTAAACCCAGGCAGCATAATTCCAGAATCCTCACGTAAGACTGCCAAAGTGACATGTTTTCTCTTCTTGAAGAAGCACTGCCCTGTAATTTTGGAACTGAAAGTTTCTATTTATCTTCTTTTCAAGGTTTTATTCTCAACTCTGTGATGATTTCCAAAACTCTCTCACTTCCTAAGAGGCTCCAGAGTAAGGATGTCTGTGTCAGAGTACCAGTTATGCCACTAACTGTGTGATGCTGGGCAAATTACCGCATCTCTATGACTCAATTTCCTCATCTCTAAGATGAAAAGGATAAAAAAACCTAGTACATGGCATTTGTCCTGCGGGTTACATGAGATAATATGTATAATTACAAAACATTACCTAATGCACAAATGCTGTGTTATTCTGACAGTTACAACTTCTGCAAACGAACACAATTCTCCTCTAGAACAGTAATAATTTCCTGATTTTGATGCAAAATCCAATTGAAAATTAACAGAATCTTTTCTTATACAATGTCAGACTCTTTAGAAACAAACAGTACTACTACTCGTATTTGAAAGAATTTCAGTAAGATATTTCACGACAAATTTTATACAACAAAATTTGTATAAATAAACATTGGTGATTACAATGGCCTTTTCAGCAATATATAATTTGGCTTTTAAAAATATTGGGCTCAAAAAGATTACATAAGACCTCAATTCTTAAAACCCAAAACTCTGACAATCAAATACTTTTTTTGTAACCTATTAGAAGGTAGAACCTGACCTGAAAAACTCTGATACCATTTATCTCACTAACTATGAACAGTCACGCTTCAAAGTTGAATTATCAACGTGCTTGATGATGTGGAACTGTCACTCCTTCATCAGTATTAAATAATGTATGGCATATGGACTGCATTACCTTTCTAAAAGTGGGGATGGGAGCGGGAGGGTAGAGAGAACATCACATTCTAAAACACTTCGGCCACCAAAGATTTCCAAAAAAGTTATGGGAATCTATACATCATACCA